AGGTGATCTACCAGCGTTACTGGTTTATCAAGGGGAACATTGAGCACAAGATAAACTTAAATCAATGCTGACTAATTTAAACTGCAATGATAATCGTAAGACGAACCAAAAACCTATACATCCCCTGTGCTACCTTTGGAAGGAACGGGTGGGAAATAATAATAAAACGATGGAAAGTATTCCAGATTCCAAATGATTTTATATTTTGTTGATACAAATAATTTTAAATCTATTGAAATCCAAAAAAGCTTTCAAGTCTGTAACTTTAAATGACGCAAATAGATTTGAAATTCGTTAATAAATGGCTGAGATATGATTTTTCAAACATTTCAAGTTTGCCGTTACACATTTTACCGGTGCAGCGTAATATATGTGATCTCGATTTGCATGGTCTTGTATGGGAAACGGAAAGATCCTATTCATTTGCTTACCAAAAATCAAAATATTAGTCAAAGTTCACCAAATCTCGAACTTAGATTGAGAGCACTAAAGAGCGAACACGAAATTATTGCGACACCGAAAATGTCATGCCAATTTTCTTATAATGTTTAGAATCAAACCAAAATTTTAGGGTAGGTTTATACATATATTTACTTCAAAAATCAAAAGAAAAGTTAATCGATGGAGCCTTGAGTGTAAAATTGAACGCATTTTCGCTTGATGCCCTCCATCAAAGTCTTTACAGTGTCATCCGGTACCAGTTTCTCAGTTTTTTTCTTCATTTTCTTAACATGTCCTTCTCGTCTTTGACTGTCTTCTTGCTCTTCCGAAGTTCCCGCTTCATTATTGCCCAGTACTGCTCCACCGGGCGCAGCTCGGGTCATGTCCTTTGGAACAAAATGGACAGAATTGGCCTCATACCACTCCAGGACACTTTTAGAATAGTGGCATGATGCCAAATCTGGCCTTATAACACATGTAACTTATCTTACGTTTCCAAAAAATTTACTTTACAGAAGTTTTCAGAAATTCCCTGAGCTTCTCGGTACTCCTTTAAAGTTTCAGTTATATCCTTAAAATTAATTGATCTGTACAGATGTTCACTGAGCTTTCCTAAATTTCTATCAATTCTCCTGAAACAAATGGAACTGTCCTGAAAATGATTTAATTTCCCTGAACTTCTTTGGATTTGCGAAGTTTCTGGAGTTTTCTGAAATTTCCAGGTTCTCAAATTTTAACAGAAATTAATGTAACTGTTCGGAGAGGATCGAAGAGTGCTGTGCTTGTAGATGGAAGCGTAAATTTTTCCTCCCGTCAAAATTTTGGATTTTGCGTTGTTCCTTTTTTAACAGTAAAGTGATATTGGTGACGAACGGATACTTGAATTTCCTGAATCGAGTTCCACAGTGTGCGAATTGTGTCGGACACCAAGAGGTGTTTCAAGACTACATTCGGGACATTCCGTGCAAGCTCTTCCACAAACCGGATTGCCCCGTGAAGCGAACCGTCTACAATTGCGACTTCCCCTCTAACACAGTAGTTCGTTCCATTTTATCCTCTATAATATTAGCATACTTAATTTCCGAGTACTAGTACTAGTGATAAAGGGTGTCCACGATGAAATTGCCACACTATGAAATTGCTCTAACTTTTTAACCGTTGGGTAGAATTTAATGAAAATTTGGGTGGATTTAGTTCATAGTGCTTTATTTACATCCTGCAAGTTTTAAAGTCCTGTGATCAAAACTCGCGGAAATGGAGTCGAAAGAACAGCTCGTGCGTGATAAAATCTTGCGCATTCATCACGAGAACAAGGATCTCTCGCATCGTTCCATCGCTAAAACGTTGGGAATCGCGAATTCCACGGTGTCGCGAGTGATTAAGCGGTTCGAGGAACGGTTGACCACCGATCGGAAGCCCAGAAGTGAAGGAAAAAGTATTCCGTACAACACCAAAAATCACAACCGCGTAGTTGGGGCCTTCAACCGAAATCCGAACGCCTCCGTTAGGGATGTGGCTAAGAAGCTGCACCTAAGCCGAAGTTTTGTCCAGAAGGACAAAACTAAGGCTGGGCTTCGAACGTTCAAGGTACAAAAGGCCCCTAATCGCGACGAGAAGCAGAACAAGTCCGCCAAAACCCGTGCCAGGAAGTTGTACCTCAACATGCTGACGAAAGTTGAATGCTGCATCATGGACGACGAAACATATGTGAAGGCCGACTTCAAACAGATCCCCGGCAACCTGTTTTTCACGGCCAAGGATAAGTTCCGCGTTCCGGAGCATGTCCGCACTCAGAAGATGTCCAAATTTGCGAAGAAATTCCTGGTTTGGCAAGCCATCTGCACGTGCGGGAAGCGGAGTGCACGTTTCGTGACCCAGGACACGATGAACGGACAGGTGTACATAAAAGAGTGCCTCCAGAAGCGGCTGCTTCCTCTCCTGAAGGCCCACAACGTCCCAACAATGTTCTGGCCGGATTTGGCCTCATGCCACTACTCCAAGGACGTGCTGAAGTGGTATGCGGACAATAAGGTCAATTTCGTGCCGAAAATGTTCAACCCTCCCAACACTCCGGAGCTCCGCCCCATCGAGAAGTACTGGGCGATTATGAAGCAGCACCTTCTTAAACGACCTAAGGTAGTGAAGACAGTCGAGGAACTGAAGAAAGTATGGGTTTACATGCAAAAAACGGTTGATTCACAGTTTGTGCAGAATCTTATGGCCGGGGTTAAGGCCAAGGTGCGGGCATTTGCGTATGGACTGTAAATAAAATACGAGTAAAATGGTAAAATGAAGTTTAATAGTTATTTCTCAATCCCTGAAAATTTGATGGCAATCGGATGAAAACTCGAATTTTGCGAATCAATTTTGTGTGTGGCAATTTCATCGTGGACACCCTTTACTACCAACATTTCCAAGTCATTAAATAAGCGTCAATCAAGCAATAAAGCTTGATTGAAAGTTCCAGTACATTATTAATGATTCCCACATTGAAATGTATTGCAGCGGGGCTTATCGTATACGAAAATAGCTTCGGAATGCTTGCGTTCTTGAAATTGGCTTTTGGAGTTGCGATAGAGCTGTGACCTTCTAACTCCCGGATTTAAGCTTCTTGCAATTATTTATATAAAAGATGGTTGCAGGAGGATTCTAATGTCACTGCCAGTCAGTGGGAGTTAGATTGTAAATACACACAAACACATACACTTACCCTTACAGATCTTTAAACTTACTTTCTTTAATCTTTAAATTTAGACATTTCTGAAGTTTAAGAACTCCTAAAGCTCCTGAAACTAATGGAACTGAAATAAAGCTCTGAAAGCAACCCTGAAGTTCCAGGGAAGTTGAAAAAAAAACTGACTGGAGTACACGGAAGATATTCAAAAAGATTTAAAGTTTATCACAATAGTTTCCCCTGACAGTTAAGTATAATTCGGTATAATTCGGTATGATATCTCAAAAATCGGTATTCTGAGAAACCTTATCTGTATATCGGTATCAAGTTTAAAAATCGGTATAAATACCGATAAATCGGTATATCTGGCAACGCTGCAGCTAACAATAAAAAAAATCATCTCACTAACACACGCAAATTGCACCAATACGAACCCGCCTGGAGAGGACTATACACATCGGAAGAGAAGGTGGGGAACAGAGGGTTGTGATCCACCAATCACCATACAAACTTCACCACTGCCCATAAAAGCATAACAGTCCCATGCTTGATTACCTATTCTAATGGGACTGTTATGCGTTTATGGGCAGTATACTTCTACTTGGCTTTGAAGATCTTTCTGCTCGACCACCTTCTAGAATCTAGAACGTTCCATCCTCCTGAAGAAGCTGAAGAAGCTTCTTCGCTGCAAGATAGGCAATGTACCGAGAGAAAGAGAGAAATCCGCCCTAAGTCATCGGTCAATTTGTTCTTCCGGTTACCATCATCTCCCTGCTTTGAGAATCTGACATGAAGATGACAGAGACAAGAGATGTATGTACTCATTAGGGTGGGTCAACTTTATAGGGCGGACCACAACCCCCCCGGCTCCCCACAACTCTTTGAATTAATTCGGTTACGATCTGGATTTGCTGGAGAGCTATCAAATTTGTATGGGAAATGGAACAAAAATATTCATTTGCTTGAAATAAAAAATCTAAAAATAGCTCAATTTTCACCTAGTCTGGGACTTAGATTGAGAAACCATGTATAAAAACTTCTACAAAGACCGCAAATCGATTCGACTTCTGCTCCGCCGCATACCCGCGAACTTATATGCAGGCATGGAAAATCATTTGCATTCATTTCATACATTCATTTACATTCATTTGCCTCTAACTTTTTTCATCAACAGCATTCCCCAAAATAATGTATAGAGTTTTGTAGGTTTTGTTATTAGCTACAACTTTTGCTCATAACTCAAATCTGTATCTCTTATGCATCACGAACTAGAGCGGGCAGAACTTGTTACTGTTTTTCAGTGAATGTAAAATACATTCACTGAAAAACAGTAGGGGCTTCTGTTCGCTCTGGTTCGTCATGCATAAGAGATACGGATTTGACTTGTTTTCAAAAATTGTAGTTAATAATAAAACCGACAAAAGCTTCATACATCATTTTGCGGAATGCTGTTGAAGAAAAAAGTTAGAGGCAAATGAATGTAAATGAATGCACGAAATGAATGCAAATGATTTTCCATGCCTGCTTATATGTACCCCAGTAGGTATGCGCGGAAGTCGAATCGATTAGCGGTTTTCAACGAAGTTGTTCTGTATGGCTTTCTCAATCTAAGTTCCAGTCTGCAAATCCAGATCGTAACCAAATTCGTTCAAATTTGGCGCAGTTGAGGGGTGGGGGGGGGGGTACCTCAATACGAATCGAAAGAGCTGTAGGGAGTAGGGGGTTGTTAAGTGGACCCACCCTAGTACTCATAGCACATAACCTATAGCGTTGATTAATTGGCGTTGACTATTTTCTAGAAACATTAACTGTAGTCCCGATCCATCCATCCTAATGCATTCCAGTTATCAGTAATTTGAATTTATTTTTCTCTATTGATTAACAGAGTGGGTCTGATACGCGCACGGCTGGCCGGAGCACGATTCGCCAAAGCGGACGTCCTGGTGTTCCTGGACGCACACTGTGAATGCATGCCCCAGTGGCTGGAACCGCTGTTGGAGCGCATCAAAGAGTCGAGCACGAGCGTCCTGGTGCCGATCATCGATGTGATCGAGGCGAAGAACTTCTACTACAGTACGAATGGGGTCACTGATTTTCAGGTAGGTCCTTATCAGATTTAGATCAAGCTTGAACCCGCAATCTCATTATCTCTACTGAAACAGATCGGTGGCTTCACCTGGGACGGGCACTTCGATTGGCATGATGTGACCCAGCGGGAGAAGGATCGCCAGAAGCGGGATTGTCCCGAAAAGGATCTCGCCATCTGTCCCACCTACAGCCCGACCATGGCCGGTGGACTGTTTGCCATATCGAGGGACTACTTCTGGGAGATTGGCAGCTACGACGAGCAGATGGACGGCTGGGGTGGAGAAAACCTGGAGATGTCCTTCCGCGTGTGGCAGTGTGGGGGAACGCTGGAAACGATTCCCTGCTCCCGGATAGGGCACATTTTCCGGGATTTTCATCCGTACTCGTAAGATTTGATGCGATGGAATTGCATAGTTGGGAACTGATTTGGTTTTTCCGTTTTGGTCAGATTTCCTAATGATCGGGATACTCATGGGATCAACACTGTCCGGATGGCCACAGTCTGGATGGATGACTACATTGACCTGCTGTACCTCAATAGGCCGGACTTGAGGGTCAGTGGAAGTTACTCGCCGTAATGTGCCGTAAAATTTAATCGAAATGTTTTTGCAATTACAGGACCATCCCGAGGTTGGAGATGTAACCCACCGAAGGGTGCTTCGTGAGAAGCTCCGCTGCAAAAGCTTCGATTGGTACATGAAGAACGTGTACCCGGAGAAGTTCATTCCAACCCGGAACGTCCGGGCCTACGGCAGAGTGTCGTCGCTGGCGGAAAACCTCTGCCTGGACACGCTGCAGCAGAATGCAGACAAACCCTGGAACTTGGGTATCTATACGTGCTTCCGCACGGAAGTGTCCGCTTCGCAGCTGATGTCACTGACGAAACGGGGCGTCCTGCGGACGGAACGTAGCTGCGCCACGGTTCAGGACAACAATGCCGAGACCAGGTATGTGGTTATGATTCCCTGCATAGACGATGAAGACATTGACGACACCTGGCGGTTAACGGAGCATCAACAGTTGATGCATGTCCCGTCGGGATTGTGCTTGGACAGCAGCGATCTGTCCACCAAGAGCTACGTGCACGTGGCGCCTTGTCTTCCGCGGGTTCGCACGCAAAAGTGGGAATTCCAACACTAGCGTCCCCATGTAGTAGACGACGAACTGAAGTAGTCCACCAGAGAGGAGCAACGGGAGAAATGAATAGAGGTCTGTATATTTTTGCTATTTATTGAATGGGACAAAGATTACCTCGTCTACAGCGTAAGTCTGTAGGCAATTCTTCTAGGAGATGAGATGTTTTATGTAGAAGCGACGGAAGCAGGAGAGATAGTTTCCTTGATAGGAGTGAACTTTATATATGACGCAATATATTAACACTGTGTAAAATAAACCCGAATAACTTAGCTAGGCATTAGTTAGCGAAAGACTACTGTGGAAGCGTGAGGTGTATCATTTCACACCTCTAAATCTCGACTAAGAGAGGAGAGAAACAAACATGAGAAAACGGCGTACTCACCTCACACGACTCAGCCCGGCGTCTGTCGGCCGGGTACGTGGTGCGGAAAACGAGCCATTCCCTCCTCTGTGCAAAGTGACAAACATGTGCACTACTGTATTCTGTGGAAGTAAAATGAAGAGACAATTTACATTAGATATCTTACTGTAGGCAATTCACAAGTCTGTGAAAATAGGCGGAAAAAAGCGGAATCAACGCGAATAAACAAATTTACCTAACAGTGATGAAATCGAGAGTGAACGAGAGATAATAAGAACTAATGTGATATAATAGCAGCAAGGGGAGAGAAAAAAAAACAAACGAATGAATCGCGAGCGCGAAGAATGATGCAGCGAATGTGTGATTATACGCGAAAGGATTGCAGCAAAACCTATACCTATTATTGTCGTCGGTTTTCTTTCTGAGGGAAAACACCGAGAGATGGAGGTAGTAAATTGTGATCGTCATCGTCGTCGTTGCCGTTATTTTGGTCATTATTAATGTTTATGCTTGGCTATGGTAGGGTAAACATAACTTGTTGAAGCCGCCGGCTTTGTAGATTTCTGTCTCTACTGATGATTGTGCCAAGTCGCGCAAAACGGTGCATGTTTAACATGCATTGACGTTTGACTTTGAGCAAGTGATTGCTCTATTAGATTTGTGCAATTCAGCGTTTTTAGATGATGTTGGTATAAATTGTGCTCTTTGACCTTATCAGAGCGTCATTATCAAATTAACGCTTCTGAATGCTTACAATGATGAATGATTGTACACTAAGAGACACTGGTTTGTTTCTTCGTTGTTAGGACGCCTAAAAATTCGCAAAAATGCAGAAATATGTGAAACATTCATAACTTATCAAATCCAGAAATCATGAATAATTGATATACAAGCAGTCACGATTTCAAAAATCTATCTTATCAGAAAAACTTTACGGACAATTGTTTAATACACTGTAGCTAGTCCTGCCCTACGCTTTCAAACGTCAAATTGCAAAAGTGGACTGAATTCCTGGAAAATGTAAACGACGATGACGACTTTATTAATTTGCCAACCCTTCTATACCGACGACTTGTCCTAAGTCAAATGGTACTTATGAACGGAAGAAAATGGAACCAACTTAAGTTTAGAAAAAAAAAACAAAAACAAAATGATGCCAACTAAAACCCTAAACTTAAAAAAAGAAACACATGTAATTCCCCATCATTCTAAACTAAAACAAACGAAAATTTACCTAACAGTAATTTGTTGTCCACATTTTTAAAGATTATCCCTAGGTTGTTTTGTCTGCGTTTTAAGGTCGTAGCTTATTGTTATATCTAAAGTGCCACAAAACTGAGTAAACTTAAACCATTTATTTTAGTGTGTAAGTCTAACTGGTTTCCATTAGTAAAAAAAAACAAACTTAAAAAACTGAACATCACACAATCGGCACTTATCAGGAATTTAGTTGCTATACAAACACGGTGATAAATGCTAAACAGGCAGAGTGTTTCTTCACTATGAGAACTGAAACTGCTCAAAATCTCCTTCTCGTCTCTATTTTTATGATTAGTAGAATAACATGAGTCTTAGTCAAAAAAGAAAAGAAAAAAGAAGATCATAGTTTAATGCTTTTACCAACCGAATTTAGAATTCCTGTGAAACGGTCAGTTACAACAATTGCTTTACAAATAAATGTTTATCGAACAGGACATTTAAAGTATATACACTCAACAACTATCTCCGAAGCAAATGTTCCACATGTGGACGTGCGCGTTAAACTACAATCTGTTGTATTTTTTTGTTTTTCTACATACGATATTCTTCCAAGCAGATATTATCTACATAAAGAGTTGATCAGAACAACAGCAGTATATTATAGAAAAATGAGGAAAAAGTGTTCGCCGCTGAACTGGCATTATGAAACTGGCAGCGAAAAGGCAGTCTATTGGAGTAATGTTGTGCTCGAATCCGACGCGAGACGGACCCTAAAACTGGTAAAAACAGATATTTTTGTTAATAAACTTATTTGTTTACATCTTTAGGGGGATGGCAGTTTGCAAGTTGCGTAGAACTAAAAGAAATCCTTGATTGTTTTGATCAGAGTAGTAGCGACTCACTCTTGGGCCCAGGTCAAATTTCGGTTTGCTGCTTTTGCTTCTTTGTTAAGACTCCACGGCCATGAGAACCAGTGACTGCCACTGTTACAATATCCTTCAAATCTAGCGCTTACCTGAAAATGTTGTTTCCGTTGTTTCGTAGTATGTAGAATCGACGGATTTCTGTTGATATCGGTTTCTGATGACATCGACTATTATTCGAAATGTAGTTGTGATCCCACCAAGCACGAATTATATACTTCAGGCATCGCGGAAACATGCAGCTTTTGAATGTTTTTCGTTAACCCTTTCTAAGTTAGTGGCAACTATATTGCCACCGAACATTTGTATTATTTTTCTCTTCACAAACAATCACCCCTATTCTGTATTTCGTTTCGAACGAAATTCTCATACAAAAAAATATTTTTTTGTATGAGAATTTCGTTCGAAACGAAATACAGAATAGGGGTGAATATCTCTACATTTTTTACGCTATGCTTTTATATGATATCTGGCCAAAACTTCTGATTTTTTGACGTAGAACTACGTCTTTGTCGACTATACTGGGGTGCAAATCAAAAAAAGATGTGTGGTTAAATAGTGTTAGGTTTTGAACGCTTGTAACTTTGCCATTTATAGATGAAATTAGAATCCAAATACGCCAATCGATATGATATTACTCCACAAATCTGCTGGAATAAAAACGTTTGAAGAATGTACAAATGGTAATTGTTTTCATGAAATAAACTCCAAACCCAGTCACCATAATCTAATTGAAGTCGCCACTTGGTTGAACATCGTTTGAACCTGAAAAGATATAAAACAGTGCCTCTGCTCATTACCGCTTCGGACGGCGTGGCACTGGGTCCTGCAACAAGCAGGAGCAAGTCAGCGGTTAATGTGGTGTTTACATCTATGCGGATAGTTGGCTAGTACACTACCGCTAGCAAATCCGCACAGATGTAAACACCCTTAGTGGTGGATCACGGTGTGATCACCTTGACAACCAGCGATGGGGTCGAAGGGTTCAACTAGTACGAAACACCCCAGTGAATATTCACTTTACCTTAACTATGATGCTTACTATCAAAACATTGAACAGGTGGAGAAACTGTATACGAGCTTTTGCTTGGACTGTGAAATTCAATAACTGAATCCCCCTTATTTTCAATTAATGTTGTACTAAGCACCTACTTATTGGAAACCAAACGATTGGTTTGAGAAAAGCACAGTTTTCTATTTTGGATCATACTACGAACACGCTGTTAGCTACATAATGATGATACATGATATTATGTAAATAAGAAAACAAAGAAGTGCTTAAAACCCGTATGATAGTTATACCCCTTCCTCCCCTACTTCGCTGACATATGAACCAACATTTTGTTCAATATTGAAAGTACCGTCTTCTGATAAGGAAAACAACTGTCTGTTGCGTGATCATAAAATGCAACCATCACTCTCTTCTCTGCTTCAGAGACATAATTTAAAATCAACGATTGAGCTACTGAAAAAAATCAACGTGTCTTCGTGAACTATACTGGGGTGCTACTCCAAAATATATAACGGCTTTTTTAGGATCCACCATTTGAATTTCCAGGAAACATACTTGAACCAACATTGAACTATAGCCGAAACATTGAAATACTTGTAAAATTCAAGATAAAGAATAATAGGCAAAAATGCATGACACACATCCATTTTGCGTAGTGATTTTAATAAGATGTAAAGGAAAGTTGAAGTTACAAAGCTTGTACACAAATCCATCATGCCAAACATTGTCAAACGCCTTTTCAACGTCTAACAAGGCCATGGCTGTGGACTTGGATACAGCTTTGTTACTTCGGATGTTATTCATCACCCTTACTAGCTGGTGATTTCTGAACCCAAACTGTTCCGGAAGGAGAATGTTATTTTCCTCGACAAATGAGTTTCTCGAACAATTTGCTCAGCGCTGAAAGGAGGCTGATCGGTCTGTAGCTTGAAGGCAATGTTGGATGAACTGAGGCACAACAGCAGCGCTGTTTTATATCTTTTCAGGTTCAAGCAGAACGATTTGCAACCGCACCTGACAGGATTTCCCGCCCTTTTTTTTATGAATGGGGCGGAGCAGAATATGCAGAATATGTAAAAAAGGATGGACTTTGGATGTTAGTATAGTTACATATATAGAGGTACCTGATATGTTTTACCATCAGCTGTGTGTAATTCACCAACTTAATATCATCGAATGTCTTTCAAGCAATTTTCTTTTCAAATTTGTAAGTTGGTGTGGGAAGAAATTAAGGGAAAAAGTCCTGTTTTTCCTAATAATTGTGGATTGTTTAAAATTTATTTCCCGGAAAAAAGTGATCGCCAAAATCCATGTCTTTTTCGGGTTATTGTTAAGGGGGATGGGGTGTAACATGCATATTTTGTCATTCTCATTCCTCATTGTGGTGGACACGCCGTGATCCACCTTTAGCCGCTGACTTGGTCCTGCTTGCTGCAGGACCTAGTGCCACGCCGTCCGAAGCGGTAATGAGCAGAGACAGGAGAGCAGCGCTGATTTATATTTTTTCAGGTTCAAGCAGAATGATGTGTAACCAAGTGGTATTCGTTTATGATGACTGGGATAGGGAAAAAGGCTTATTTCATGAAAACAGTGATAAAATTATCATTTGGACATTTTTAAAAGTTAAATTACAGAAAAATCGGAAACATATTTATTTCAGAAGGTTTGTAATGTAATATCCTATCGATTGGCGTATTTGGATTTTAATTTCATCTATAAATGACAAAGTTACAAGCGTTCAAAACCTAACACTCCTTCACCACACATATTTTTTGATTTGCACCCCAGTATAGTCGACAAAGACGTAGTTCTACGTCAAAAGATCGATCTTCCAAAGATCGATCCAAGATCGCCCAATCTTAATTGACTTTGGTTTGAACTATATGAACTATGAACTCTACACTGAAAACAGTCCCATGGTAACCACTACTATTTCGTAGGTTA